ATTATTATTAAACAATTATTAAAATATTTTGTGTTCGAAATGGTCTGATAAATGCGATTCTTTATGCGACCGTTTCGCGACGGATATGCGTTTGTTTGCAGGTCTACCGCAGGGTATTAAATTGCGAAAGGGATACGGAAACTAAACCATTATATTTATTTGTTTATTAAAAATGCATCGGAATTGCGAAAGTATGACGCTTGTTACGCGAATATGACTCGACTGCTATTTTTTCGCATAGTTTATTATTTAAAACAAAAAAAAGGAAAGCGAAACGTCTCATATATGCTACTTTCACATTTGCACCTCTCCAGAGAAGAAATCAAAAAAGAAAGAGGGGCGAAAAATTGGGATTCCATCTTGCAACATTAATTCGCATATTTAGAAGTAAAAGAACTGTTAGAAATTTAAAAAGAAAAAAAAGAACCAAAAATTATGAACGACGTCGACATCATGGACTTCTTAAGAGATGATGAAGAATTGACGAATCTAGCTATTCAAGTGGCGGCCGACCAAGCGGGTGGCTTAATGGCTATTGCGGCCGGCGACTCAACGGCTGCCGTAATGGGTATGGCGGGCGGCAACTCAGCGACTGAAGGCACGGGTCCGGAGGACATCTCTTCTGGAGAGATAACTTCCATTTGTTGAAGTTATTTAATTTAAGTTATTTAATTTCATCTGCTTTAATAGTTAATAAATAGTTGTTTTTATTTGATAATGTATAAGTAATTTGATTTGAATACTTAACAACAACAACAACAACAACAATGCGATTGTTTAGGATTGGTCGTACAAGAGAAAAGAACTGATCGGTAAATATAAAGGGCTAAAGATCAACGTTTACAGCCGGCAGTTGATATGTTCTGATATCAATAACAAGTTGGCCAACTTTGAAGGGGCCTTGACTGCTTTCCAAGGCTCGGTCTTTGGTCCGTTCCTCCAGCTTGATGATAATGCTAATGTCTCTACAAAGGCAATGCATGGGGTTCTTTTGCGCGAGGTGACTCGTGTCGGTCAGAACCCGAACGAGATGTAGTTCCGTATTGGTAGCCATTCTACCCAATTCTCCGCCCATGAGTATGCTGTGGTGACCGGGCTTGCTTTTGGATCGTCTGCGTTTGACCCGAACTCAGCGCTTTCTCCTCCTCCATCGTCGATTTTCATTGAGAAATATAAAGGCAAGCGGATCACTATGCAGAATTTGCGTGGTGACTTCAAGGCGGGAAAGTTCCGTACCTCTCGGAATGTGATAGTGAGAGTGGCGATGATGCTAATGCTGATGTACTTTATCATTCCTCATGACGACAGCAAGCCTCGGTATATTGATAACTGCTGGTGGGCTTTGCTTGAGGAAGACCAGATGTGGGAGAAATTCCCATGGGGGAGTTACTCGTTTCAGTACCTGCTCGATTACTTGCAGACGCCCAAGTACAATAATATGAAATATCATATCTACGGATTTCACTGGGCGTTCGTAGTATGGTGCTATGAGGCAATCCCTAAATTAGGTCGTACATGTGGAACACGTACCTCGGTGAGACATCCACCATGACTGGTTCACTGGACATTGCCGAAGGTCACCCTTCTAGATACATTTTTTAACCAACAGGTATTATTTGATCCTAAACATTTTTTATTGGAAACGTTAGCAAGTGATATCCGAAATTCTTTTTTAAGTCTTAACGATTTCTGATGATTTCTTTATCTTTATTTTTATGTTCTATTTTTTAAAATTTAGTTGGAGGTGCAGGAGACGCTGGATCTATATGAGGAGGAGAATGACGTGTTGGACCTCTCGACTTTGAATGTTGAAGGGCCTCGAGTTTTGCGACAAGTTAACCCGGCCAGTCGCCGTATGCAAGACTCGACACAGCCGTCCACGTTGGCTCTGCAATCTCAAATTGCAGGTGACGCTGTGCACCCGAGGAAGTGGGCCCGGACTGAGGGTGAAGATAGTCCGATGCACCGGGAGGAGGTGAGGTCAACAGATGGGTCGGCCTTTATTGAGGATATTCGGGCGTGCGTACGGGCTGAAATGGATAATGTTATGGCCAGAATATACTCTGAGGTGTCGACAATCATTCTACGGGAGTTTCTGACTATTATTCGACAGGAGTTGGCCACTCTGTCGTAACCCCATCTGAGACAGTCTCCTCCCAAGTCCGAGCCAGCCGTCAACTCGACAAGACAGCGTTCCCCCACCCACTCCTCGACGAGACAACGTTCCTCCACCCGCTCCCATGAGAAACAGCGTTCCCGCACCCCCTCCGAGACAACTGTCACCCCCTCCCCTAAGAGACAACGTGCCCTCACTCCCACCTCCGAGACAGCCGTCCACAATCCCCTCACCGAGACAGCCGTCGATCCCACCTCCACCTCCAAGGCAACTGCCGCCAACCCCTCCACCTCCAAGATAGTCGTCCCCAATCCCGTCCCTGAGACACTGGTGCTGCAGTCCACTTCTACTCCACTTCTTGGACGTGCTGTTGTAAGTCCATATCGTCCCGACGAAAACAGACGGTATGCCAAAGATGAGCGAGCGTTTGAACGGTTCCCTCAAATCCACGAAGCCAGAAATGTAAGTACATCCAAAAGATCTTTAATTGTTTATATTTTTTAAAAAAATAACTTTTTATTATATTATTTAATAGGAGGAATGTCGGCGTTAAATATGAGGTGGGTCAGAACTGGCTTAAGGAGTTGATTGATCCGGCTACAATGATGGAGGAGGAGGTATGTATATGTTTGTCTTGTAATATATTAACGTATAAAAATGAATTGATGGATGATGTTTGGTTTGATTTTATAAAACAGCACGTGAATGCATACTTGGGAATTATGCAAAGCAATCCAGTTAGACCTAATTCAAGAAACAACTTTAACAATAATTTAGACAATTGCTAGAATATAAAAAATAAATTACGTTGCACAAAATCACAAAACAAAAATATGATTTTTTATCACCTTATTCAATCTTCTCAATAAGTTCCGAAATTTTCTCTAAAGAAGATCTCGAATTCGAACTCGAACCATGAGGACTACGACGATACCAATATTGAGTGCAAATTAATGCTTGAGCCATCATAGGGGTCATTGAAGCTCGAAATCATCAATCACATGACCACCCCGTGCTAAATGTAGACTCTATGGCTATGGTAGATAAGGGCATTGCCAACGCATCACGAGAAAATTTGGATAAAATGGAAAAACCGATGACTATTGAATTTCCACCAATCCAATACATCGAAACCTTTCGAAGCTTTTTCCAAGCGTTCATTTAGATACGTATCTAGCTCCGATTCTTCTAACCCAATCCCGGATATCAACTCTCGGATTCGCATCTTATTATCCATTAGACTCGACGAAACATTTTCAACATTCGAAGAAGGCGACGAAGTAGAAGTTGATGACACCAAGCCACTCATTTTTTTGATACTCATAAAAAATTTCATAAAGAGCACTCTTAGCTAAATTTGCTATCCCTTCTCCACAAGCCGAACCATGCATACTTTTCAAATAGTAATGTAGGACACCAAACTTGTGACGGGGATCAAGCATAAATCCAACATACAAAATCATATTGAATTTCTCTATATCAACCCAATATTTGTCAAACTTCTTTTTCATTTTTTTTTGCCATTGCAATAAAATCAATATCATCACAACACATCCATTCAGTCAAATGCTCATGGACTTTAAATATTTCATCACAGAAAATGTATAAAGTCACAAAGAGTGAACTCGAAACTCGAAGGGTGAGATCATAAAAATGACGCAATACTTAGGAAAATTTCTCCACGACGGTCCAATCATACTTGGTGGAGAAGCCAATTTTTTCATAAGTTCCACCTGACACAAAATCTTTTCGAAAATTGGAATCATAGATCTCATATCAAAAACATGTTGAAAAATCAAAGTCGTGTCAAACATCAAATAAGTAGAGTTCCATCTAGTTGCAACATCAAGACACAATGATTTTTTACTCTAATTTTTTCCTCCATGATTAACTCTTCAATCTCATTGATGACGACCTCACATAACGAACAACCGCCCGAATACGATCAATGGAAGAATTATTATGTTTCAATCTTTCTTTAACTACAAGATTCGTAACATGAACAACACAATGCATGTGCAAGTATTTTCCATTCAAGATAGAGGTGTCCCAACTTATGAATCTTCTTTTCCAATAGGGTACATTCACATCATTGGCAGAAGCATTATCAACGGTAATACCAAACACCTTATCAATTCCCCAATCAAGAAGACACATCTCAATCAAATGACCAACCTCATCACCTTTATGTTTAGGACAAGAAACAAAACTGAGAATCAACTTATGCAAATTCTATTCATCATCAATATAGTGACATGTCAAACACAAGTAACTACGATTTTTATTAGAAGTCCACAAATCAGTTGTCGAAGATATTATAAACCCCAACGACTTAATTAAAGATTTCACGTGATTTTTTTTCATCAATAAACATATTCAGACAATCTCTTCTTATAGTGATTCTTCATGGCACAATCAACTCAGGACATGAAATGCACATAAGCTGCCTAAAACCTTCATTCTCAACAAATCAAAAAGGCAATTTATCAAAAATTACCATGCGAGCAATGGCTTTTCTAATTGATTCTTGATCAAATTTCTAATTAGAACTCCATTCTTTTGTGCCCACACTTATATTTTTGATAAAACATGGCAAATGTTTGACATTTATTATCAGGATGATTTTTTCACTTCCTCATATGGTGATTCATAGAAGACGTACCATTAAATTTTGTATTGGCTGCGTAAATTTTTTCACAATGCTTGCATTGTTCCTTCTGCTTACCATCTTCACCCGTTATCACCACAAAGTGTTTCCACGCCTTGGCTCGGAACCCCATCTTCCTTTCATATGATTCTTCTTCTTCTTCTTTTCCATACGAATGAGATGTTTCCATGTGTTCTTTCTCCAACGTGGCATCCTCATTGCCCAATTCAAGTTCAGGATCATTCGATGATGCACGAGGCGGTCGTAGTGGACTTGAACTCAAAGTCCTTGAACATCCCGAAGGACCCGAACCGCCTCTTTTGTACCTAAAAAATGCATGATTAAGAAACTAATTAGTAATCACAACATAATTAAAATTCAACATTGAAGTTAATTTCTTAGCATAGAGCAGGGTAACAAAAAACAAATCAATAAAGAGTAGCCATAATTTCAATTAGGGTTAATAACTTTTTCCCATCTGAAATATCACGATTTTGGCGCATCACCATATGAACTTTTTTTTTTTTTACAAACCACCATCTAAACTACACGGGTTTGTCAAATTGCCCCCTAAACCGGAAAAAAAAGTAGTTTTGACTAAAAAAAGCTGATTTTTGAGGGCATCTAAGGAATTTTATATTTTCTTCAAAAAAAAAAAAGAAAAAAGAAAAAAAGGAAAGAAAACAGCTCAGAAACTCGGCTCAGAAATCTAGTTCTCGAGCTTAGAAACTCGGCTAAAAAATTCTCGAGATGAGAAATCTGGTTCTCGAGCTCAGAAACTCGGCTCGTGCGCTTTTTCTGTAACATAATTACACCAAAAAAGTCTATTTATTGAACAAATACAAAAACACACTCCTCACATAATAGAAAAGTGGACCTGCAAGTAATATAAATTTTGTTTATCTTTTCTTCCTTTGGGGGCAATTTGGCTTAACAAATTAATATATCCAGTAATTGTTCTTAATTCGTTTTAGTTGTCATTTTCAGTGTCTTCTCAAGCCCAAAAAAAAAAAAGTGAATTGCAGTTTAGCCTTAGAACCTCAGAAATGATTTGTGCGATGAGAGGCGACTTCCCATTCCGGGTCGTAAAGCACGGATTCCCAGGGGCTCCTTTCGCCTTGTGAAGTCCGCAGCCATTTTTCTTGATGCTATTGATAAAACCATCGGGAGGAAGGAGTTTATCCCTCAAGAATCAGATAAAGCTCAGTATCGAGTAGAAATGGGCACGAGTCAGAGCTGACGAGACCGCTATAGACATGAGATGATTCCCAATGTACTCGCATGCATCCTTAAACTCAGACATGACCCCAACATGTCTCAGCTCCTCGTGGTAGTCATATAATTCCTTTCCGTAAAAGCTCTGATCGACAAACGGTATATCGATAAGAATCGATCCGTATTAATTGAGGCACTTGCACGAAGAAGTAAGGAGAAAAGATCGTGAATAATTGGAGGTGACTGTTGGCAATTCTGATCCGTATTTTATTTCCATATTATGTGGTCAAAGTCAGCGGAGATTAGGGTTTTGAGGTGGCTGTTGGTGGGTTGCTGTTTTCTTTCGTTTTTTTTCATTTTTCTTTTTGTTTTGGAAAAATTATAAAATTCCTTAAATACCCTCAAAAATCAGCTTTTTTTAGTCAAAACTACTTTTTTTCTGGTTTAGGGGGCAATTTGACAAACCCGTGTAGTTTAGATGGTGGTTTGTAAAAAAAAAAAGTTCATATGGTGATGCGCCAAAATCGTGATAGTTCAGATGGGAAAAAGTTATTAACCCTTTCAATTAATATAGAACAAATCAACAAATAGCGACCATAATTTCAGCGAAAAATTCATTAATCGATACTTGATATGTTTTATTTATTGTTTTGTTCAATGACTTACATCAAGTCTATGAAACAAAGGCACATTTGAGAAATTTGTAAATAGGACTAAAACTAATTCAAAAAATTTCACCATTAAAAAAAATTCTGACTTACACCATCAGACATTCAATTCAATTAATTAATTGTCCACAACAGTTCAATGAAAAATCTTCTTACTTACACCATCAAAAAATTCAACCAAAACTAACTCAACAAAATTTGAGAAGCAAATTGGTTCAGATGTCAACAATTTTGAAACCCACAAGCTTTGTGTAGAAGGAAATTGGTTCAGTTCAAAAGGCATAAAAATTTACCAATATACATATATATAACGAGCTTGAGTTGGTTCAATCAAAATTCACTTGGTTCAATTAAAACAAAATCATCACGAATTAAAAGAAGAAAGAGAGATTCAAAGTATTAAAAATCGCAAACCTGATGTGCAATCCATACGAAGGGATTTCAGAGGCGAACTCATTTGAGATTTGAGAAGACGAGGTCAACGTCAAGTGTTGGCCTGACATGGAGTGTGTGGTATACGGGAGCAGGCCGAGCGGTAGCAGGATCACGAGCGGTGGATGGGTGAGCCGCGGAGGTAGGGTTTCAGCCAATGTTCTGAAAACCGGACCGTTCATCGAACCGGTCAAGCTACTGGTTCAATGGTTCACTGGTCCGACCAGTGGTTGAACCGGTTGGACCGTTATTTAATTTATTAATATTAATAAATATATATAATATTTTATATAATAAAATTTATGTATAAAAGTTTATTAATTAAATATTAAGACAACTTAAAACATTCAAACACTTAAACTAACTAATAATACTTTTTATATATCTATTAAATATTTATGTATTTTTTTATTTGCTGACATCAATTAAAAATAAAAAATAAAAGTGGAGCAAGCCACTTTCTTTTAAGTTTTAATTTGTCAAAGATGTTTCATGTTTGGCAGCATATGCCCCAGACCCACATCGCTTATCAAATTAAAAATTGAGGGGAGAGTGGCTATAAATGGAAGCAATATTAATGGACCTCTACTAAAGAGAACCGTGGGCATGAGGTTGGCATTAATGTTTATGGCCCACATCATGATGGACTTGAAAGATATGAGTCCAATATCAAACAGTCTAAAATTTAAAGTGCTAAATGTAAAACCGTTGGCCGTAGTGAACCGTTTCCGGTTTTCCAGTTTTACCGGTTTTCAACCGGTTTGAACGGTTTGTGAACGGTTCTTGAGCCCAGCGGTTTAATACCTCAAACCGAACCGGTGTTCTGGCTGGTTCCCGGTTGAACCGCCCGGTTCGGTCCGATTTTCAGAACTATGGTTTCAGCCTGGGAGTGGGAGGGGGAGAGACGGAGAGTAACTCTGTAACTGAGTAAGTACTATGGGCCTATGGGAGATGTCGAGGTGACAATTGACAGATGAGAAGAGTGGACTGCTTCTTTTTCGTGGTGGACTAGACATGCTGGTGGGTCGTGGGTGGCCTTGTGCTATGGTTGGGTATCGTTAAATCATTATATTGGGCTTTTTATAACATATATGTGTTGGGATCTATGAGGATCTCGTTATGTACAAGTTACGAATTCAATAGCAAACGTAAACATATGCGCAGCGGATTTAAAGGTTTGACGTAGAAAACTTACGGCTTAAAATTTTCTGAATCTGTCGGATTCGGGATGACTGGGAACAACACACGAACGGGTCGAGATCCCAAACAGATGGCGAGTGGCTGCCAGTCGTGTCGCGTCGGTCAGTCGTGTGAGCTGTGGTGCACCAGTCGGGTTGCGGAGTTCGTCGCATTGGCTCCGGCTGCTCACGGCGGCATTCTCTTGGCTGTCGCGGGCTTACGACGGCGGTCCGTCGGCTCGCAGTGCTCAGTGGTTCGTCGGCTGCCGGCTTCCGCGGTTGATGAATATATACTGATCACGGGGTCTCGATTACCACGGGATCTTCTACTGTATTACTCACACACCTCTTCAACTTATACCGGTGGACCAACAAGAAGAAGATAAAGCTCGAATGAGATCTAGAGAGAGATGAGAGGGGGCACGGCTTTCACGTGTATTGTGATTGTCTGCTCTCTTCTCATGAGCTTAATGATGTATATATACAACTACAGTAGGGATCCTTAGGAGATTAGGAACATGGCTCCTTAATTAATGGACTAACTGTAGGCCAGACCCACGCTTCCAATTACTTAAATAATATTACGGTCCACTAACTTAATATTATTGCACTCCCTTTTCCTAGCCCAAATTACATTTGAGACTTCAATTATAATTACCCGATTTACCTCTCCATGCTTTAGATATAATGTCCATTAATTAATTCGATTACTGACATCAAGAATTAATTAATTTATTATTTATTTCACCGAGTTAGCGCTCGTTCATCACATTATTATTATGTCGGAACTTAATCCACCTGCAGGGTTTAGCATAACAATTCTTCATGAACTCACTTCGGGGACATCATCAAACTAACGCACATGGTGACCGTAAATTTCCTAACAGCACATCATACATACAACAATATTACCCAAGACAGTAGGAATATTAATCCAGCGAACTGAACCTCACCCAAGTGAATCAAAGTAATATGTACTGCATATATATGTCTGTTTAATATCTTACGGGTTAAGAGAACGCAGTAATAAACCGAGGCCTAGTTCGTTTACGACGATCAGTATAAAATGAACTTCTCCTCTCTAAGATCCTGTTCAATACATAAATGTACTAGTGCAACTAATCAGTCAAGACCAACTGTACCGTTGACACTACAACCGTTCGAATGGGGTGTTCATTTCCATCTAGGTTGTGACCACAATTCTTGTTTCGCAAGTAACTGATAGAATGATCTTTTGTTCGCCCGATGACGACCCATTCTATCTAAGTGCAAAACAACAGAACATAGAATTTGTTTAATCTAACATGATTCTCATTCATAAACGGTAAAAGTGTAATATCATCCAAAGCAAAGCTTTCAGTATATAACACTAACAATGTGTATATTATCGATTTTCGGTTCGGTTCAGTTAACCGATAGATTATATAAAAACCGAACAAAAACCAAAATATTTAAAAAATTTAAACCGAAATCTGAATTAAATATTCGGTTTAGTTTCGGTCGAAACCAAAGATTCTGTTTTTTTCGGTTTCGGTCGGTTAACCATATTTTATGCACCCCTAGTTGGAAGATGATGAAGTTGATATTGATATAAAACATGGAGTTATAAAAAAAAATTAAAATCCCATATAATTAGGGGAGTTACCAATTCAAACCAACTATCCTATTAAATTCGTCATTTTTTTAATTATATAAAAATATGTTAAAACTGAACATCTAGTATATATGCAAATAAATATAATAATTTTAGTTACTTTACTAATAAATATATAAGGGTTGTAAATGTGCAATAAAGATGGAATGGTGTAGTAGACTATGCAATTTTCTCAATAACCTTCCATCCCCCCTNAATCCCGATGCCTCCTTTCAGTTGGGTGCTTCATGCCGCCACAATGATGTCCATCATCGGGTTGAACGGCTTGTCTCTTGGAGTTTTTTGCTTTCCTTCCTCAGCGTAGCGGTTTTCCGTTTGCTTCGGTCGACTATGGCAGAGTTGCTGGTGTAGGTTTCCGGCGCTTCTGCGACGAGGTCGAGTTGTTGGCTCCGATTATCCCTTCGCGGTGCTTGGGGCTGAGGTCAGAGTTTTTCTCAACCCCATTTTTTTATCTTCTTCAGTGTTGGGTAGACGAGTTGTTCCGGCGAGTGCGGGCTGCGGCTATGGTCGTGTTTTGGGACAAAGGTCGCCAGCGGGTTGAGGGTGGAGGTAGGTGTGGGCTCCAGCTGCGGATCTGGGGTGTTCCATTTGTGCGAGGATTTTGGAACGAATGGTCTGGATCTAGTCAGCCATAGAAGTACTAGAGTTTTTGGATCTGCGACTTGGGTCAATGTTCTGTCCATGTTGGTGGTCGCTTCTAGGTGTTGTTGCGGAGCAGCTAGCAAGCTGGTGGGAAGGGTGTTCTTGTAGTTATGCTGGTGTTTTAGTGTCTTTTGCTTAGTTTTGTTTGCTTTTGTTTAGGTGTTTATCCTCCATTATGTGAGGTAGAATTCTCTACTTGTGGGAGCGTAGTTTAGTATTATCGTAGTCTTGTGGGTATGTTTAGTGCAATTGTTACTAGGCTACCGACATGCTCGTCCTGTAGGTCTCTCTTTGAATTCAGTTATATAGTTGCTTGAGTCGGCTGTTATTAGTTGCTTTCATGATTGTAAATATGTAATTTTATCTATAAATGTTGCCATTTTTAAAACCTCGATTATGTCCAAACCTTCCTGAGCCAACTCTTCATTTTGCTCTCGGTTGTACGTGCTCGACCTCTGGGATTCCAGCTTAACTTCGACCGATAGTAGTGCCTCCATCCCATAAATCAAGTTGAATGGGGACTCACATGTTGTTGACCTTGGGGTGGTCCTGTATGCCCAAAGTACTGATG